GTTGCATATTTATATTAGTTTTTGTTTTAGCGATAATTTGGTCTAATATTAGATTTCATTGGAAAAACAAATTCCCAAAAGTATATCATATGTGTATTAATCGGAATATTCTGGTTATAACTAACGTTATATGTCTGATGTTCACTGCAATTTGAGCTTATATGCACTCAAAGTTTATATACCTAAATTATTTATTAACATGTTAATTAAATATATTTTAAATAGTTTATTATTTATATGTGTATATATGTAATAACAGAATATTGACAAATAATTAAAAATTTAAAGCACTTATATTGATATTGAATTTATAAACACTAGCAAAATAAGTATATATTTTAGTATTATATTGAAAATAGTCTATAGTATAATGAAAATAGAATTTAGTATGTCATAAAAAGTGTAATTATTTATGATTTTGTTTTTGAAAATAATTACCGATTCTGTCAGCACTTAATCAAAAGTACTTTCAAAAACAATACACAACTCTATTGTATGCCATTATAACGTTGAATCCTATCATTAATCAATACATTATTTTGTTTTCAAAATATTTTCTTAAAAATATATATAACCTTATAATACCGTACGTTATGGAAAATGATTTATAAGTTATTGAGTTTATACTGTAATCACTATATTTTTTTATTATGTATATAAAATATAATTTATTTCTATAAAATATATTAGCTTTCACATAAATTATATACAGTACTATTAAATATTTACAAAATATATGAAAGAATAAAAATAATCAATGATTTATATTTTGACTAAAAATATGAAATGATTTACACATTTACTAACAGTTATGTATAATATCTTTATTTATAAAAAAAATTAATTAAAATATTGATAATTAATGGGTGGGTTTATATAGAAAAAGTCAATTAAGATTCAATTATGATCTAGATCCTTAATCATATAGTTGGCAAATTAATACATTTTTTATATACATCCTACATATATAGCTATGCTTTCAAAATATGTATTTTTATGAATAATCGTAGACTTATTATACAAATTATACACAAACACACAATTAATATACATGTATAACAAAATAATATAGTCTAAAATTGTGACTAGCATTTAATATTCACAAAAATGTAATTACGAAAGTTTTGTTACAAAAATACAAAACAACACATTATTATGTAATTTTTGCAAACTCTTAATGGTTTTGTGATTAATTAAGTTTTTTTGTAAATAATATTTTTATAATGAAAACGCGTAGCTCATTATTAATATTATATAAACTTTTATTAATAGCGCATATTAAATCTAATTATTATATTGATTCAACGTAATTGTGGTTATAGTATGTTTAGTTATACAATATATTTTGTGATTTTATTTTTGGTTTTAATTTTATAAATGTAGTTTTATTTTTGTTTTAAAAATTATTTATTAAACAATATTAACAAATATTCTCTAGGTTTGGTATAACATTAAAAAACATTTCACTTATTAAATAAAAAAATTTATTTATATTTATATATAAGTATAACATTAATATTTTACTATCCTTTTATTATAATTAATAATTATAAATAAGTAAATATTAAGTGCTTTAACATTAAACACTAGATAAATATTCAATAAATTATGCTTGCCTAATATCAATATAAAATAATTAGTATATACGGTAATATATTATGTTTAATAATTTTAAATAATGTAACTTTAAACAAAATATTGTTTTATTAAAAGTATTTCTAAGATCTGTTCACATATTTACATTTTATAAATAATATTTTAGATATCAAATCAACATAATTATATCAAAACTAGTCTAATATATTCACCACTTGATTACATGAATCCACAAAAATAATAGCAAAATGCAAACAATATTTCAATGAACTCAATGTGTGTCTTATTTTATTATATTATTTTGCCACAAAAATATAACACAAATCTATTTTAATTCATGTTTTCAACAATTCTTAGAAAATTGACAAAAATATTGTTTATAATAAATAAATGAGATGCCAAATAACAATAAAAATAAACTACTTGTTTATAATTAGACATCAGGGAGCTTTATAAATAATATAATATCATTTAATAAAGTGCATTGTCAATCTATGTGTGCTCAATTACCATGGTATAAGTACCTAAAATAAGTTTACTTTAAAATTTTCCATAATAAAACTTGAATGCAAATATAAAAAGTGTACTGGTACATAAAAAATTCACTGAAACTCATGTATATTTTTATAACTGGTATTAACTGGTAATATATGCCATTATTTGGGTAATGGTTGCTCATTGGGAAAAAGCACATATCCCTGGGCTTTAAATCGTTGTACATGTCTTTCCCCCCTCCCTGTGCACTAGACATACAATCCACTCGTTTTTCACATTTTATTTATTATACTATTTTCTTATATATATATATAAACACACAAACCGTTTGTAATATAAATAAGTATTGATTTTATTTCGTAATAATTTTTTTAGTGAACTAAACTTTTTTGGTGACATTTGATTTGATTGAATCAGGGAATATATTTATTTTTAGCAATTCACTGTAAAATTATATATATACAACATATAAATGTATATAAATCTTTTAAAACAATTTATGCTTGAAGTTTTAAAGCACCGGCATTTAAGGCACCATATATGGGGCTATTTTGCTACTGTAGTAATCACGCGATCCGAGGGATTATTATCGGAATTAATTCACATTTTGTTTTATATTTAGTTTGAAATTATTTGTTATTTTTAGATTTTAAAATAGATTTTCAATGAAATTTATATACTTATTGTGTTTCACAAAAAGCTAATATAAAATCCAATATAAACTCGAGAATATTCTGTTCAACTAGATTTATACTGTACAACGAATTCAATACATTTATATTTATGTAAAAATATTTATATATTACATTTATATTTACAATGTTCACAAGTGTTTACAATATTTCTAAGAAAAACTGTGTTTTTTGTATATATTGATATTTGTGTATAATTTTTAAAAATACTTTGCAATCCTTACATAAGTTGTAATTGTAATGTGCAAGGTATTTTAAAAATTGTCTGAAAATATTCTTTCATGACTCAAGTGCTTACAGAATATTCTCATAAATTAATTTATAATTATAATTACATTTATATTCGCAATATTTACAAGTGTTTACAATATTTCTAAGAAAAACTATTTTTTTTGAATTTAAATTATTTGTGTATACAATACAATATACTTTGAAATCCTTACATAATTTGTAAAGTACTTAAAACATTGTCTGAGAATTATTCTCATAAGACTGTAAAGAATATTCTTTTATGTTTCAAGTATTTCCCGAATATTTCTTAGTCTATACAATATAAATATAATTATTTTACAGTATACTGTATTTTACTCACACATTCTTATATTAAATTATTATTTATTTAACATTAAAAAAATAATATTTTAAAAGTTCAGATATTGTGTGTGGGATACACAAAGAGCTTTTCATCAAATTATGTATTATATGTATATTATATACTGTATAATATATAAGAATAGTTTCAAATTAAGTAAAATTATTTGAAAAGCAAATTTAAATTATAAATTATATACAGTATATTAAACTTCAACATAATATAATTAAGTTTAAATCTAATTGGTATAATTAAGTATGTCGTAGCTTTAATAATTAATATTTAACGATAACAATCTATGCTACTTAATTTTAGTTAAATATTTAGATATTACTTTATAGATTATTAAATTGTTACTTCATCGAGTTATCCCACGTATTACCCATTAGGATATATTTGCTATCATTAATACCAGTAATTGTGTAAACAACACCTACTATAATTTTTAAGGATTACAGATTCCGAATAGCCTAACTTATCTGGATTATAGACATTTTTACTGTAAGTTACTATTAATAAAGTAGCAATTGGATAAAGGTTTTCCTTAACATTATATGAGACATGTATAAATATACTAAAACCACACTAAATAATTACTAACTTAATAAATGTGCTACGTGAATGTATAAATTAATTTTAAAAAGTTTCAAATATTCAAATATTCTATTAAAATATTCAAAAATTTTAATTATTTATTAAAGGAATCTTGAAAATGTTAGCATATTTTTGTGAATATATTTGCATTTTATAAGTGAGGGTAAAATATAAGGTTATTAATTTAATACGAATAACTCGCTAAAAATTTATCTTACATTACTTGGAAACGACTATCATTTCTATACAGAATATTCTGTGGGATTAGGAACAGACTGATAATACGATTGGGGGGAAAGGGATGGTATGGTATGGTATGGGCACTGAGTGGCAATGATAGACACATGCGCTGCCATTGAATTCACAGTATATATGTGTCTCGCAGTCACCTTCTGGTCGACTAAACACTAAGGAATATTCTGCACACAGAATCTCATACATAATAACCGCACACAACATACGATACGATATACTCTATTAACTTATATTCTGTGAAACAATACGAAAATCTTTTTAAAAAAAGTTTCCAGTTTTGTATTCAACAACGAATTCATTTGAAACTATTGTTTTAAAATTGTTATATATTGTGGTTAAATTGTTAATATAATGTGTGCTGGTTGTATAGTTTGTACACTATTTGTACAAATAGTGTGTATGGGTGATTAAATTACTTTGTGCTCATAATAAAAGTGTACATTAACTAATCTAATTTGTGTTAACTAGTTAATTAAATAATCAGTGATTTGATAATAGAAATGGTATCTATAATACATCATATTGTATATATACGTCTATAATAGATTTTTAAATAATCAGAATAAGTTTTACATATATTCCCTAAAATAAAAATTCAATAAAAAATAATAATTCATCATAGTAATTAAAATTATTAACTATTTTGTTACACAGTACTGGTACATAATTATCTTGACAAGTTGATTAAAAACTGTTTACTACTACTTTTAATTAAACATCATAATATAAAATATATTATTTAACTCTACTTTGATTAAAAAAGTATTTACCAAAAAATGTCGGCAATATTTGTGCAAAACTTAACCCAAATCGAGGACGACATGGACTTCCCGGTGGCCACACCTAACGACACCGACCACCACTACAACCAGACAAACGCCGAATACATGAATGAATTGCTGAAACTATTGCGGGAAAGGCATAAACAGCCGCTCAGTACGGAGGACCTCACGCGCAACATAATCATCATAGCGTGCTATACCCTGATCATTGTGGTCAGTCTGTGCGGCAACCTATTGGTGGTCAAAGTGATTGCGTTTGGCAAACGAAAAATGCTGACCACAACCAACATACTGATCGCATCCCTGGCCTTTTCCGACATTGTTATGACCGCGTTCAACATACCGTTCAACGTGGCCAGGCTACTTTTAGAGTCGTGGCCATTCGGCTCGTTCCTGTGCGTGTCGGTGCCCTTCGTACAGGTGACCTGCGTGTACGTCAGCACCTTTACCATGACGGTCATCGCGTTTTACAGGTGGTGGACGCTCAGCCATACGACTACCTCCAAGTCGTTAACCTACTTACAACTCACTATCATTATCACCTGCGTATGGCTATTAGCCGGGCTATTCTCGATACCACACTCCGTGTTCAATAAAACAATAGTCATACCGACCATCAAAGGGCTGACCCGGTGTCACGTCGTGCACCCGACGGTGCCCTTTGATTTGCCCCTATGGCTGTCCATCGAGGCGTTCGCCACCCAGTACTTCGTGCCGCTGTCCGTAACCCTCTGGCTGTACATACAGATCGGCATAATAGTGGCCAAACAGGGTATGCTGGCCGGCCAGTTAAACGACGACAGGCGGCGCCACCAGTCGGACGCCCGTAAGCGGCGTATAGTAATGCTGGCGCTGGTGGTGACCGCCTTCGCTATATGTTGGCTGCCGTTGAATATGTATCACCTGCTGTGCGACTTTGGACTGACCAGGCGCAATTTTAAGGTGTTTATACTGTGCCACTGGTTCGCCATGTCCTCCGTGTGGTCAGTATTTTTGGCAATTGTTTTCGTGTTTTGTGTGTGATTTTTGATATGATTTGCGATTTTTGTGTGTATTTTATTTGGGTTATAAGTCTTTGTGGTGTCTGTCAGTTATGTATGAGTAGTGATATAAGTTAGTAGTTAATAGTGTGTAAAGCCGTAGGGATAGGGTAGTTTAATTTATTGACTCCTAGTATAGATTATGTCATAATACTGTTTATAAATATATATATAATATTGTTATATAATACACTATCTAATAGTGCCATACGCTCGTACAATAGGTGTTAATTTCCGATTCACACGTAGAAATCAATAACCTATTGATTTGTTTTATAAATAACTTGATATGAGATTAAATATAGTTTGAATCCTTCGTGTGTATTAAAATGTCATTTTCATGTTCACCCACTTTTGAAGTACTTTTTATAAATATAAGTTTGATGTATACAGTAGAAACACAATTGATTGATAAGTAACAAGGCAACTTAATTAGAAACTTCTTGATTTATAAAATTTACATGAAACTTCACAAACAAAATTACGGTAATTGTGAAATAATATTTACAAAATTATGATTATTTTATGATTTAATTAGTAAATCTAACATATTTACTAATTTTACTACTTTTATACAATTACTAGTGTATAATTTATAAATAGTTTATATTTAGGTATATATTTATATTTTATCAACAATTTAATATCTATTTAGTATATTCACACAGAATATTCTGTACAATAATCTCTATGTATATCTTTCACAATACAGTTACAACCCATTCATATACTGCTATCTGAACCAGAATTTCAAAAACGCTGCCAAAAAGTGCTACCAATTCATGTCGTGCCAACTGCCGGCGCCGGGATATACACTCAACAACATGGGTGCGACAGTGGCCGAGGAGCCCACGAATACCACTAATGTGAACAACATTGAGATGAGAGATATGACCAAAGAGGACGTCGACTCCGATGATAACGACTCAGATGGCGACCGGGAATCCGATTAACAAACACAAAGACTATTGAGTATTACGTTTGACATGTAGTGCCGACTAATGTATGGGTGTTTCGTATTGAGATGTTGTGTGTGTTTTTCAATGATTCAATTATTTAAGCTAAACATTATTGATGTTATGGTTTAATACCTCGACATTAATATTTATTTGTATTTACCATGAACAGTATGATGATAGAGTATTTGATATAAATTATTTTACATTTAGGGATTATGGTGAATTGATATATACAGTACAGTATATTACATTTTGTTTTATATGTAAAGTTAAATGTATGTCATTTTAATGATATGTATGAAATATATACTGCTTACAGAATATATTCTTGGTAATATGTATAATATTCATGAGTTTTAATGCTATCATTTGTTTTCCGTATTTAATCTCTAGTAAAGATTTTTCTTTATTTAATTTAATGACTCTCTCTCTCTCTCTCTCTCTCTCTCTCTCTAATTCATGTCTCATTTTTGTGTCAAAATATTTTTATTGACAGAATTTATAAATATTTTATTACATAGCACACATGGTATTTTGTTTTTACAAAACATTAATTAAATTTCTCTCCTTATAGCAAACATATGTCAGAAAAATAGCAAAATTGTTTAATGAGAATTTTAATTTAAGCCAAAAACTGCACTTTATTTTTGAACATTAAATTCTATACAAATCCCTGCAAATACTTTATACTTCATACCCTTTTTATTGAAATTAATTACAGTTTGCATTCATTAATTCAATTAACAGATTATATTTTATCTTTTTTATGGTTATTAATAGTTGGCGTAATAATATTATTGTTATTATTTTGTTATTTTGTTTATTAACTATTAAAAAGTTTATTAAATTTTAAAATATTTTATTCTGTCTAAATAAGATTATATCTTTATAAATGTATAAATAAATATTTTTTAGTATAATAATATTATTATATTGATATATTATTATAGACAACATAGTTTACTGTACTAATATATTGAATGAATTTAATAACTTATTATTAGTTTATAAAAATATTTTCTGTTTCATTATCCAATCATGTATACAAATTTTAATAATAGTTTTTTGTTTAATACAGTATTTTCGATATTTTTGTCAAATAAACAATAAATTGTTTGATTGATTTGTTTTATATTTGCTGCTGAAATGTTTTGTCGTTTTTATTTACAGTAAGTTAATACGACAATAGAAATTCATGTCTCATTTTTGTGTCAAAATATTTTTATTGACAGAATTTATAAATATTTTATTACATAGCACACATGGTATTTTGTTTTTACAAAACATTAATTAAATTTCTCAATAAAGATCAATAATATACATGTATATACAGATTAATGTACTGAATATTGTATTTTTCTTATATTTTATTAAATATCTTAAAACATAATTTGGGGAAAGCATATTTATATATAGTTTATATTTATTTATAATATTTTTAAATTTAAAAATGTTATACAGTAGTAAATAATCTTTAATCTTAGATGTTGTAATTTTTTGGTTTACGTGTGAAAATATTTTTTGAATTAAATTATTTTTTGTTTGCTTTTCATTTCGTAATTATTATCATTTGTTTATTAACTATTAAAAAGTTTATTAAATTTTAAAATATTTTATTCTGTCTAAATAAGATTATATCTTTATAAATGTATAAATAAATATTTTTTAGTATAATAATATTATTATATTGATATATTATTATAGACAACATAGTTTACTGTACTAATATATTGAATGAATTTAATAACTTATTATTAGTTTATAAAAATATTTTCTGTTTCATTATCCAATCATGTATACAAATTTTAATAATAGTTTTTGTTTAATACAGTATTTTCGATATTTTTGTCAAATAAACAATAAATGTTTGATTGATTTGTTTTATATTTGCTGCTGAAATGTTTTGTCGTTTTATTTATAGTAAGCTAATACGACAATAAAATTCATGTCTCATTTTTGTGTCAAAATATTTTTATTGACAGAATTTATAAATATTTTATTACATAGCACACATGGTATTTTGTTTTTACAAAACATTAATTAAATTTCTCTATAAAGATCAATAATATACATGTATATACAAAATAATGTACTGAATATTGTATTTTTCATATATTTTATTAAATATCTTAAAACATAATTTGGGGAAAGCATGCTTATATATAGTTTATATTTATTTATAATATTTTTTAATTTAAAAATGTTATACAGTAGTAAATAATCTTTAATCTTAGATGTTGTAATTTTTTGGTTTACGTGTGAAAATATTTTTTGAATTAAATTATTTTTTGTTTGCTTTTCATTTCGTAATTATTATCCTAAAGTTTTGACAGGTTTGAAATACTTTAATAAATCTACCAAGCATAAATATTAAACTACTGTATAAGGATTATTATTGTGCAATAAACTAAGTATGTCCAAATATACAGTATATTACATTATACATACTAGAATACATTAAAAATTAAATACTTTAGCATTAATTAAGTTATAATTATTAACACGGTAATTGTAAAGTGAATAATTATATAGTAATTTCTATATAGCTTACAAAGTAAATTACAATTTCAATAATCATAGTACAAGTAATAGTTTAGCTACAACTACAACGTCTCTCTTATTAATGGATTTATTAGAAAATTTTAGAAAATTTTCAAATAACACAATAAAAAGATAATTAGTATCAGATAAAGTTTGCAAAATTAGCCATTGACAAATATTAATCGTTATACTGATAAAAGACTATTTTGACAATTATTGAAGTCTATTGTCCTATACGTAAAAATAACTAAAGATTTGATTAAATTAGTATCAGATAAAGTTTGCAAAATTAGCCATTGACAAATATTAATCGTTATACTGATAAAAGACTATTTTGACAATTATTGAAGTCTATTGTCCTATACGTAAAAATAACTAAAGATTTGATTGAAATACTAAATATTAAATTATACGAAATTCATTAGAGATAATTACTGTATATTGAATGTATGGCGCACGGTACAATAAAAGTGATGATTAGTATTAATACTGTATTTAATACAGTGTATTATATGAATGATCTCGTTTATAAATTAATATTATAATATCATTTGCACTAATGTATACCATATTCTGATACAGTATCACTCACCGGTATTTAAAGAATATTCTGACATTTAAATAAGACTACAATGTATTTGTTGTGAATGCTGAACACTTGTCGATTCAAAAATGAAAAATACAAAAGTTTTTAATAAAAGTTTTTAATTCTCATACAGTATATCAACTATGTTTGAGTATACTGTCAACAAAAGTTGTGTAACTTTGAACGCAAACCAAAATGTCACGGACTGGGCAATAAACTCAACGGGTGACCCAGTAGAAATTAGTATATTCATGTATCCGCCACTTCTCACATACAATGAATGGTACGCAACCCTCGTGGACAACACATCCGTACTGTACTACCAATATTGCGGTCCGTTTGTAGTACTGTTGCAAACATTCGCCCAATATATCAATACTAAGTATTTTGTAATTGGTCCTGACCAAATATCAATAATTAAGTAATTGATATAAATATGATTGATATAGTTTCAGACTGGAGAGACAGGAGAGTGATATTTATGGATTAGTTGATTTGTCCAGGTTCATGGGCGCCGTTCATATACCTCTATATATCTACCCCTTTGAGCCCAACATATTTGGCGCCGACTTCGGCGACTTGGGACTCATTAGCAGCCGGTTTATTGGCTCAACTGAAGGGGATGTCATAATCAGCAGCACATCATTGGGTCTGTATTTCATGATAGTGTCTAATGTACTGAAATATGTAATGAGCAGTGGTTTAGAGAATTTGATTAAATCGTTAAACTTTGAGACCATAATTCATGGATGTTTTAGTTCATAATTCAATTTTAATTTTAAAACCTAGTATACACAAAATGTTAAAGTTCACTGGGTTAGTTATGGCACTACTCAGCACCAGTCTTACTAATTATTATTACACAATTAGTATTCAATGATTATACGATCAGTTAACAGACACCCGTTTGAGTTCATTAATTGTTGGGATTATTACATATATTTGTGGCTTTTATTGTCCATAATATTTATCGCGATTATAACTGGTCTCCGGTATCGATCTGTGGATAAATGTTTGGATACTATTTGGGGATACTTTGCGGTCATTCTGTCGGATACTTTCCAATTCAGAGCCAACACTCAACTATTCGACCAATTCTTTGCCGGAATCTATCTACTATTCTGTACGATTCTGCTGTCCATATATTCCGGATTCTTATACGAGAACATCGTAAGGGGACAGGCGTTTGATTGGATTGAAAAGCGGGACGACCTGTACACGAAAGCTCATTGGAAACACTCGCGGATCGTAGCCTTTGACCAGACAATGATTTACTACTTGATAGCTGAACGCCAAACGGGTTCCCAAATGGGAGTCGATCTCTACGACCGGTTGGAGCCCACGGATCCGCTATCTATGATGACCAACACGTCCGACCAAAATCAGCTCATATTTGATGTCTTGAGAAACAAATGTGTCGTGAGTTGCGGCAAAACTGTCGGCTANAATAACTTATTATTAGTTTATAAAAATATTTTCTGTTTCATTATCCAATCATGTATACAAATTTTAATAATAGTTTTTGTTTAATACAGTATTTTCGATATTTTTGTCAAATAAACAATAAATGTTTGATTGATTTGTTTTATATTTGCTGCTGAAATGTTTTGTCGTTTTATTTATAGTAAGCTAATACGACAATAAAATTCATGTCTCATTTTTGTGTCAAAATATTTTTATTGACAGAATTTATAAATATTTTATTACATAGCACACATGGTATTTTGTTTTTACAAAACATTAATTAAATTTCTCTATAAAGATCAATAATATACATGTATATACAAAATAATGTACTGAATATTGTATTTTTCATATATTTTATTAAATATCTTAAAACATAATTTGGGGAAAGCATGCTTATATA